ACAGAAAAGAGAAGAATATTATGCTAAGTAAAAGAAGCCAGACTCAAAAAATGTACATTCTCCATATATAAAACTCTAGAATGTATAAACTAGCCTATAGTAATAGAAAGCAGAGCAATGTTACCTGGTGCCAGGAATAGAGATGGATTTTGACTTCAAAGGGGCATGAGGGCACTTTTTGAGGTAATGGAAACTTCCCATAGCTCTATGTGGTAGTTGCATGGTGGATACATTTGTCAAAACTTATCAAATTGTATACTTCTAAAGATTTAAATTTATTGTACATAAGCTATGTATTCAATAATTTAAAAGAATATAATTTATCATTTTAAAAAATTAGAGCACTGTGAAGATGTCACTGGAGAATTGAATATAATAGCAAAGAATAGGAAGTAGCCTAATAATAATTAATGAATGCTTAGAGAAATTATTTATGATGAATCAATACTATAGAACAAAATGTAACCATTACAAAGTTTATTTGAAATGGAACTTTATGACAAAGTAAAAAGGTAACAGTATGAATAATATGATCTCATTTGTATAAACATATTTTGCATCATATTTTCCAGGGAATCTATACTAATCTATAAATTTGATAATTGGGAGCTTAACTATGAGGTGAGCCATTTACAAAGGGATTTTTAACTTTTCCATTTTTCAATGTTGAATTTTTACAATAAGGTAGTTAGTTTTACACACATAATCAACAGAAACAAATGATACTTTCATTTGGGAAAATTAAAAGATAATTAGGGATAGCTTTGCACACTCCAGGCATCATTATGAACATCTATCATTTTGTCATCTCCAAGTGGAGAGATATTGATTAACAGGGATTCCTATTTGATTAAATACCAATAGACAGGGCTTCACTAGATGTTGCATAAGAAAATATTCTGCTCAATTCTTCCAGCAACCAGCTGAAAAAACATGAAATGGAATTGTGGAAGGGAAAAATATAATGACTAGACTTGGCAAGGTAGGGGACTTCCATGCCTAATCACTTTTCCTTATTTTTTCTAAAAAACAGTTAATATCTTTTAGTCTAAAAACTGAGAGCATCTGTCTCTACATCCTTTTCAATGATACTTCCTGAAGGCAAAACTGACAAAGACCAGGGCATTGAAACACAGTTTTCTCTCCAGTCTTTAGAATCTTCTTGAAGAAATAAGATTTTATGTGGCAGTGATGGGGGAGAGGGTTAGGGATTGAACTCGGGGCCTGTAGCAAGCGTCCTAGCACTAAGCATCACCTCCAGCAGAAATGAGAATTTTGAGAACTCCAAGTGTTCAGATAAAACACAAAGATGCCCCTTTGCATAAGAGACGGTGTCAAGACAATCCTGAGAAACTCAGCTTAGTATAGCATTATTCTCTGGAGGGACTTTCAAAATCCTGTCATCTTCATGTGTCTTCTCAACTCTGCAATTAAATATTCTCTTACTGCCTTCTATAGTTTCCCAAGTCTAGACACTATAATTATCATGACAATTCTTCCAATGTCCTAATTAACAGAGAATGAAAAGCCCTAGAAGAAGAAAGTCAGGATCCCAGCAGTCACATCAGCCAATGCCAATGAGCAAATTAGCCAAATATAGAGGAGAATGATTCATCTGCTTCTCCACTTTCCTATCTCCCCTTGCTTAGCTTTTCTGTATCCTTCTCAAAGGAACATATCAAAAGTTCGCTTCTACTTTTTTCGCCTCCTTTTTAATCTTCCCATCCCACATGGCTCTGCATAGGCCCTTCCTGACCATCAGAATTCAGCAGATGGTCTGTACTGGACCAAGACATTCCAGTTTGCAGTATGTTTTTGAAAATTACTTTCTATGGATAAAACTACAAAGTTCTGCAGGACACTTTAATTAATTCATTTTTTTTTTCTATTTGGATGGCTTGTACAACCTTTTTTAAAATTTTTAATTTGTTATATATGACAGCAGAATGCATTACAATTCGTATTACACATATAGAGTACAACTTTTCATATCTCTGGTTGTACACTAATTAATTCATTTTTATATGACAAACTAAATGTGGGCAACCTGAGCCTATTCAGACAGGACCCTATTTTTGGCTTTGGGACAGGAGGCTTTAAAGTATTAGTTCAGCCAAGCTTCCCCCTCTCTGCCTTATTAAATAAGAGGACCTGGTAAACTCAACAACAAAGCTGCTATGTAACCTTGTCAGTGCCTTCACCCTCACTGGCTACCTCTGTAGTGAGTCAGAAGATCCAGGGGTTGCCAGATGCAGTTTTGCTCAAGGTCAGGGCCACTTTTCATACAAAGGGCTTGATATTTACCGGCAGCTGCAGGATGTTTAGTTAGGAGCCAAAATTCCCCAGGAGTTTAATTCTGTGGGCTGAACTGCCCAGCCCTTCTGGGAACTCACACCCAATATCTTATTACTTCTGCCTATTCATTGTCACTTCTCTCTTTTCGGCTCTCATTTCCTTACTTCCTGTGTGCTTTTCTCTTTGTCTTTAAAAAATTTTGAAGATGTAGTGAAGGAGGTGGCACTCATGGAGGGGAGCAGAGGCTCTGAATAAATAGAAAAAGGTTCCTCGATTCTGTCACTTGTTTTACACACACAAACACACACACACACACACACACACCAAGTACTCAGAGCCTTGTGAGAGCCTAGCGACCAGGACTCCTGGTTAGCCACCTAGCCACCTCTGGATGTCCCTTAATGCAGGATAACAGGAGATTCCAGCTCACCTCACTCCCCCACCCATTGTATCCTGTCCTTGTTCCCTTTCTAGATGAATGGATGCCCTTTCCGAGTAGCTGAACTGTTCAGAATGACTCAGGAGGTTATTCCTTTTGATAACAATATCATTAGTATAATATTAAACAGTTTACAGAGCACTTTTACCTCTGCACTTATCCTACTAAAGCCTCACCACAATCCTATGAGATAGCTTTAATTGTGATTTTTGTGTATAGATAAGGGAATTTGATTGTCAACTGGTCAAGGAAATCAGGCACGTGATGGTGCTGGGACTCAGCCTAAATGCACATCCCAGGGACTGTGTTATAAGATAATCACTTTTAGTACGAATTGCTATATCCATAACATCCAGGATCAGGGAAGTCATTTTGGTTGGGCTAGTATCTGTGCAAAAGCAATTGCTGAGTGGACCAGAGAGAGATATCTGGCCCAAAGTGGTCTGTTCATCGTTTGGCTCATGCTTATGCCTATGTCTTGGGGCAGAGAGTTCTACTCAAAAGGCAATGCCAATGAGCAAAGTCCTTTACACTACCTCTCTCTGGCACTTGAACTGAAGAATTAGTAGTCCTATTGATTAAAAAACAAAAACAAAACTGGAGCAGGGGTGGGGGTAGGGGTTGGGGGTGAGGGAGTATTGGGGGGGAGTGGAACATTACAAAGAAAACAGAGAGATGACAAGAGGGAGAGTTTACTGGCCGTGAGAGAAACAAAAGGAACAGCCAGTCCCTGGAACTGCCTCAACACTGATCAGCTTTCTGGCTGCCATTTGTACATCTATGATAATCTTTTCTCTCCTGGAAGCCTTCAGCCTCTCTCTTTTCCTGGAGACCAAGGAACCCTTTCTACTCTTTATCAAGCAGTGATTTTTTACTGACTTAACCCAAAGCATTAGCCCATGTCAGGTACTCACCAGGAATATATGTGAATGACTATGAGAAGTGGCTGTTCTGATTTTCCTCTCTGCCCACAGAGAGGTTCTGTCCAAGCCAATAAACCCAAGTCATTGCAATCTCTCTGATTCAACTGGTTAGGCAGGGGACATGCAGGACAAGCTACTGAGTCCAGGTGTCTACTAATCTGGCTCTTTGAGGATCAGTTTTACAAAGATCAAAAATTCTGGCGCAGGGAATATACTCCCTAATAAGGTAAACATTTAGTTTTATTTTACAAACACTAAGATTGTGTTCCAAGGGGAACGATTCTTACAAATAAAAGGGCTTTTTCAGTAAGAGAATGCTTTTGAAATTCTGCTGCTGAGTCAAATCTGTTTTATAAACCCCTCTCGAGGCCATCTGTTGGGAAGGAGGGAGTCACACAGGACAGGGGGACTTTCTATCTCAGGGAAGCTCTTCTTCAGGAGGCTCTGTTTTCCACTCACTTATATCTGACAAAGGAAGTACAATCTGACAACACCTGAAACCAGTTTGTGTACTTTTGCCATCCCCCTGCCCCCCGCCACTTTACATTTTCCTTTTCTATTTCTCTTTAGCTGTAAGTTTTTAAATTAATCTGAGTCATTTTTTATTGTGTTCAGACTTGGGAGAGTAACTACTCTTCTGAATACATTTTACCTGTTTCAACAAGAAGCATGGACAGGAGAGCCCCCAGGTGTTTAAATCATGGCACTTCAAAAGTTAGCTGGTTCTGCAATCCTGAACATAAGCTCGAGTTTATAGCCATGCCTAGAGCTTTCTAACCAAGAACATCCTGACATGAAACAGAATAGAGAAAGTATCTGCACTCCTTCAAAGCTAACATGCAATCATTCAATCTCCAGTTTTTTTGTTACCAGGGAGGTAGGGCAATGAATGAACCACACAGGAATATGTGTAGTTACAAATAAACAACAGGGGGAAGGGGGCAGGTGAAGGTGAGCCATTTAGTAACCCCTGGTGACATTTAAGTCAGGACACATATTTTGGTAAACAGTTTCTGTAGCAGAGGGCAATAAGGAAAAAGACTTTAGAAGCCATCCCCCAGTGTTTGCCATGGACAGAATTGTAAGGGAGAAGAGACACCTTAAAGTCACCCACTGAAGTGGGAAGCTCCCAGGATTATCCCCTAAGAGAAAAGTCACGTCCCATCATTACCCTAGGTACATGTATGACTGCACACATGGTATGACACTACGTCATGTATAACCAGAGAAATAAAAAGTTGTGCTGCAATTGTGTATAATGAATCAAAATGCATTCTGCTGTCTCATATACCTAATTAAAATAAATAAATAATTTTTTAATAAAAAGTCATGTCCTATTCCAGACAACTCAATGTTGAAATGGCTCTCTGTTTAGAGCCCAGTGACATGTTTATGGTCAGGCAAAGAAAAGATGCCTTCAGAGAGAGCCACATGGAGGAGGCACTGTCTGAACTGGAGATGGCCTGACTGGAGAAGACCTCTGCCTACTCACTGCTGCCTGCTTTTCCAGATCTCAGGATGCATGGTGATTCCTCTAGATGCTCTAACTTGACTCCTGATGCTAAATTATTTGCCGTTGCTAAATTCTCTCACCTAATCTTGAAGCTGGTTTTCATTACATAGCTCTATCGTTGGGAAATTGTTTGATGTCTTCTTTTCTCATTAGACATGGAAATTCTCTGAGAATAGATTCCATATCTGTCATGTTCACTGACATTTCTCAATCACTTAGCATAACAATTGGCATATAATGTACTCTCAGTAAATTTTTTTGAATGAAACTAAACTGATTTGGCTTTTCTACTAGTACATTGTGCTCCTTCAAAAGTTATTACATTTGCAATTATTTATCATAATTATATTATTTGTAATTATTTAACATCTGTTTTCCCACTAAACTCTTAGGTCTATGAAATCAAGAGCTAAGTCAGTTCGATACATTGAGGTTTCTGCAGCATCTATCACAGTGCCTGGCATACAAATAATTGGCATAGATGTTTAAAAAAACATCGTTGAATGAGTGATTGCTTTAGTTAAGATATATAACCTCTATGACCTTCAGCTTCCTAATCTGTAATGATAATCATCCATAAGTAATAATGATGATTAAATTCCATGCATGGGTAGATGCTCAATTCATTCCATAAGTTACAATGGGCTCATAATTGTGAGCCCATAAACTTAAGTTTTGGGAATTGCCATAAGTATGAAAAAGCAGAACAAGGAATTCAGGAAAGTTATTTGGAATTTGGTCCCAGAAGCTCAAAGCTTAAATCTACAAAGGATCCATAACAAGGGTAAAGGAGTACATTAATTTTCTAGGGCTTCCATAACAAAGTACCACAGCCTGGTGGCTTACACAACAGAAATTCTTTTTCTCACTGTTGCAGAGGCTAGAAATCCTAGATCAAGTTGTCAGCAATGTTGGTTCTTTCGAGGTCTCGATCCTTGGCTCAGATGGCTTTTTCTTCTCTGTCTTCACACAATCTTCCTTCTGTGCATGTGGGTATTCTAATCTCTTCTTATAAGGACACTAGTTATATTGAATCAGGGCCCACCCCAATGACCTAGTTTAGTGTTCACGGTCATTTTAAAGATCCTACTCTCAATATTCTCACATTCTGGAGGTTAGGGGTTCAACATAAGGGAATGTAGCAAAAACAATAATTCAACCCATAACAGGGAGCACTGGAAAATGTGCTCCCCTTTCCTTCTAATTAAAAAAAAAAATTCATAAAAAACATACAGAGAAGCATCTCTGTGCTGTATAAGTACTAACAGCGAACACCCAAAAGGACATTCAACCCCCAAAAGCAGCAGCCAATGATATGTATATGGAGAATGTCACACAAAAAATGAAATAAAATCCAGGAATCCAATCAGAAGCAGAGAATGTGAATACGAACTAATGTACAAGAAAAGAACTAAAAGATTGGTGGGTTTTCTATTTATTTATTTATTTATTTATGTTTGGTAGTTGTGTATGGACAGCATGTCTTTGTTTATTTTTACGCAGCGCGAAGTATCAAACCCAGTGCCTCACACATGCCAGGCAAGCACTCTGCCTCTGAGCTACAGCCACTGCCCCATATTGGTGGGTTTTGATGCTTGATGAAACATGGAAATTCAGAGGAGTATCTTCATTTATACTTGGACTTGACCCATTAATGTTTCTTGTTGTTATATAGCTTCTGATTTAGCATAAGTTATGAATACAACCATATACAAATGATTTAATTTTATTTCATTTTCCAAACCAGATTGTATTTAGGTATCTATTAATAATTTGCGTAAAGAATTTTTGTTAATTATATCACTATTTTTTGGTACCAGGGATTGAACACAGGGGAGCTTAACCACTGAGCCACATCCACAGCCCTTTTATAAGAATATATTGTTTTAGTTGTAGATGGACACAATACCTTTATTTATTTATGTGGTGCTGAGGATCAAACCTAGTGCCTCATACGTGCTAGGCAAAATGCTGTACCACTGAGCCACAGCCCCATCCCTCCCCAGCTCTTTTTATTTCTTATTTTGAGACAGGGTCTTGCCAAGTTACTTAGGGCCTTGCTAAGTTGCTGAAACTGGCTTTGAACTTGTGATCCTCTTGCCTCAGCCTCCTGACCTACCGGAATTAGATGTGTGCCAATGCACCCAGTTAATTATGTCTTTTAATTTAATTTTATTGTATCATGTAATCTGTCTGACACAAAAGAAATTTAACAGGGGTTCACTTGATGCTTGAACTATATCCCTTGTGGCTTTGAAGCTTACCTGTTTTTTTCTTTTTTCCAATCTTCTTTCCCCAACACTTCTCCTCCCTGATCTCTTCTTTTCCCTGATCTTCTTCCTGATCTCTCTTCCCTAATCTCATTTTTTCTGAATCACTTCTATAAAAGCCCCTGTTCCTGCAGATGGGCAGAATCACAGCCTTTGGAATAAGAGCCCTCTGTGTTTCTCCTTTGCTAGCAAAGCAATATCCTTCTTTTTTCTTTTTCTCAAAACCGTGTCCTCGTGTCCTCATTATTGGATTGGCATCAGGGACAATGACAGAGCTTTCAGCAATAGGAAGATTAAAATTACTTCCCAGGGGGCTGGGGTTGTAGCTCAGTGGTAGAGACCTTGCCTAAGGTGTGTGAGGTATTGGGTTTGATCTCCAGCACCACATAAAAATACTAAACAAACAAACAAAATATATATATATATTTTTTTCCTCTTCCCCAAACTATACTTTTAATCAATGGCTTGTTAAGAATGCAGATTTCTGGAGCTCTGTAAAAGTCAGATTAAATAAGTTCCTTGGAAAAAAAATTTTTTTTCATAGACAATCTTCTGGTAAGGGTTAATAAATTTTAAAATACAGACAGCCTTATAAGAATAAAATTGCCTTAGAGAGAGGAATGCTTTCCTACAAACCATAGGAAAACAGTGACCTAGGTGAGAGAGAAGATCAAGAAATCAAAAGTAATTACAACTCACAAAGTGCTACTATGAAGGACAAAGATGGGTAGGCCTAGGAAAAGTAATAAAGTTTTTTAGACAATCCCTATGTGTTTTGCTAAGAATGGGTGACATTAATCTACTTCCTATATTTACTTCTCACATTAAGAAGATGAGGCAAATATATTATCATCCTCATTTGCAGTGAAGAAAGCTTAGACACAGAATGATTAGGTTGGAACAGAGAACAGAATCAAAGTCTGACTGAAGCCAGAACCTACACGTCTTCCTTCTACACTAGGGAAAAGTTTTCAATATGAGGATTTAGGGACCATGAGGATAGAAGTGTCAAAAGAGGATGAAAGAAAAGCAAACACAAACTTCTCATTTGGGAGGAAAAATTTAGTACATTCCTTTTGACATGTGTGCTGGAGGCTGTCAATGGTAAGGGAGGATACAGATGTCAAATGCCCACCCCAAAACACTTGCCCAGCTTCACAGATGCAAATCTTATCTATGCAGGAAGGGTTGGGGCTCAGCCCTGGGTGTTCCTCCTTTTGGAAAGCTTGTGCAAACAGATCCTACTCTTAAAACTCAACATGAGTCAGGTCTTTCTCTAGAGCAATGGTTCTCCACCCCATCAGACTTAATTCCCTCTTCTTTTTATATATTTTTTAAATTCCCTTTTCTTTCAACAACATATTTTGTAACACTCTCTTCACCATCGTAAAACTAAACACATGGATAACATAAACTATCTACATGATTTCAGGCAGCAAAACCCCACTTCATTTAGGATGACCACGAATGCTCATTCACCTGGGATTGAGAAGTTTTCTGGGCCACATGACTTTTAGTACAAAGCCTTAACTACAATATAAAGGAGAAATAAAAGAAAAATTAAAATAAATTAACAAGTATTGGAAGTCTTTGCTTGTGCTGGGCTTTATTACAAGACAAAGTAAAATATCGGTTGCTTATATCTATTTACAATGAATGAGTTAGACTATAAAACCTAAGTAAGAAATACAAAAATATGAAGAACAAGGGTGTACAAAACACTAGAATAAAATCTAGTATTTAAAGAAGTAATAACAGACTAAATTTATTCATATAAGAGAAGGGAAAGTGTCCATTTCATTTAACTAGTGCTGGAATAACATGCAAAACAAATTACACAATGTCAAAGCTGAAAACATGAGGAATCTGAGATCCATGATGATGAGCTGCCTTAAGAAGTGAGTTGGCCGGTAATGAATTGTCCTTCACCATACTTGACTTTCGAATGTCCCACCAAATGAGGTTCATGTAGATGGAAACACAGACATATTGTAATGCCCAAATCCATACTAGTGGGACTTGTCATTAATATAGGATCTTTCTATGACACTATAGACTATTACATGGGCAAGCTAGCATCTCTTTTCTTGAAAACCCTCACCACTTTGAGGCATTTATACAGTACTTAAAAAGACCCTGGGGACATGTACTTGAATGGACAAGTGTACAGATTGGAAAAGAGTCACTCAAGAGTTATAGAGGTTATGGGGTAGAGCTCTGAGGACAGCATCAGTATAACCCCAAAATAACTTTGTTATTTTCATATTATGAATTTCTTATCGCAGCCTAAATTTGTTAAAATTCAGGGTAGGTAATATGAAATATTTTTAAAACAACTGTTATTCATAAAACTCAATGAGATTGATTCTAAATCTATTGAGAGGGATGTGGAATCTTCTGTGTTGCATATTTGCACATGAAAGCTACAAATGCAGGCAGATGCAGGCTCAACATTCTGTGAGTCAACTATCATGAGCAGGCATTATAGTAAATGATATGCTTGCTGAAATGGTGAACATTTCTTCATAAAAGTTCCAACTTGAGTACAATTTTCCCTCCCTTTAACTGGTGACTGCATTCAGAGTGTATGTAAAATGCAGTTCTATTTTAGGTTTGAAGATTATAAACAGGTTTTCTACCAACACGAACCTCATCTGGTGGGACATTTCAAAGTCACACTTAAAGAGGTTCATTATGGGCCAACTCATTTATGGCAGCATCTCTCTTCCTTCTGGTCTCTGACCACTAAATGCTAGTTTTTCCCACTCACATATTTCCAAATGGCTCCAGTGGAGAACTTTTCTCTGAGTGTCCACATTGAAATAAGGGAATCCCAAGTGCTGATAGAACCGAAGGCTTACTTGTAAAGTAGAAATAATAGTATCTGCCTTGCAGGAAATTATAAGAATTGAAATGAGATCAAATATAAAAGTGCATGATACAATGCCCAGGCCATGCTAGTGAATGAATGGTAATCATTCTAATGTTTTATTTTTTTATTCC